TATATCATAGAAATGAGCCAACAAAAGCAGATCCATTCCTACAGAGGGTATGAAAACGAGTAGGGAAGAAGTTTTTAAAGATGGATTGAGGAAGGAGTGGGCACACGCCCACCATCGAGGCAGAGTCACCTGTGAGTTGAGGACAGCAGGGTGTCTCTTATTTCTTCCCGCTAAAACACTGAAGAGTCTGTCATAGCTTTTCTAAAACTCATCCAGAAGAACCAATTGTTATCACAAAGAAAAATGAATCCCCAGAGAAGGAGAAAATTTCGTCATGCCATCACTCAGAAAGGCAGGAGAACTCATAAGAGAGAGTTTTCTGTTCATACCTGAGACCGTTGAAAATGAACTCTATCTTGTATCATAGACGTCATAGAACAGGTCTTGAAAAAGATCATGTAGATCATTTGACCTACTTTTATTGCTGAACTTAATTCTAAAAAAAGTGTATAGAATTCTAAATTTATTTCCCAGCTAATTCAAGTTAATAGATTATAGTCAACATGCAAATAAGAATTTCAAAAAAAAAAAAAGAAAAGAAAAGAAAGAATTTTATATGTAGATTTAATTTATTTCTGTGTAGCTTTGGAGTCTATCTGGCACTCTCTCTGTAGACCAGGGTGGACTCAATCCACATTAGGTCCACCTGCCTCTGTCTCCCAAGTGCTGGGATTAAAGGCGTGTACCACCACTATTCGGTTGATTTTATTTTTAAAGTTTTATTTATCTTTATCCTATGTGTATGCATGTTTTGCCTGCATGTATTCATGTGTGTGCCTGGTATCTGTGAAGGTCAGTAGAGGGTCTCAGACCCCCTGGAGTTTGAGTTACAGGCCGTTGCGAGCTTCCATGTGGGTGCTAGGAATTGAACCTGTGTCCTCTGTAAGAGCAGCTGGTGTTCTTAACCATTGATCCATTTTTCTAGCCCAAAGGCTTGTTTGTATTATATATATATTTTCCCACCGAGCATGTCTGTACCCCATGTGCGTGCAAGTCCTGCAGATGTCAGAAGAAGGGATCAGAACCCTTAGAACTGGAGTTACAGATGATTGTCAGCCACCACATGGGTGCTGGGAAATGAACCCAAGTCCTCTACAAGGGTAAATGTTCCCTTTTTTATTTTTAATTACATTTTTACACACTATATTTTGATCATATTCTGTTCCCCCAAACTAACTGCTGAGCCATCTCTCTGATTCCCAAGTGTATTTTTAAAGTTATTATGATCATTATTAAATAGTTTGCTGTTTCAAAATTTAAGAGTAGGCTCATACATACATCGTATGCTCTCTCAGTTAGGGTCTCTATTGCTGTGAAGAGATACCATGAACACTGAAAATCTTATAAGGAAGATATTTATAGTTGAGGGGGCTCACTTACAGTTTCAGAAGTTCAGTCCATTATCATCATGATAGGGACCATGGTGGTGTGCAGGCAGACATGGTGCTGGAGGTGCTGAGAGTCCTACATCTTGGAGGCAACAGGACCGACAGTCACACTTAGAGAAGCTTAAGCAAAATAGACCTCAAAGCCCCTCTGGGCAGTGACACAGTTCATCCAAAAAGGCCACACTTCCTAATAGTGCCCACTCCCTTTGGGGGCCATTTTTTGCAAACGACAATATATGCATATCTGTTTTATTTAATATTTTTTAAAGTTCCTGGTTCCTTTAAAGTTTCTCTCATCCAAAGGGGGCTTCTGGTGGCTTCCAAACTATAGAACCACATTCACCATAAGGCAGCTGCGGATTCTGATTTGTAGATCTGCAGTACAAAAACCGTAGTCACACCATGGAAAGAGAATACGCTAAGACCAACACAGCTAGGAAAATCTTAGCCCCCAAAGATGGGTCCTCTGTTTCAGCTCCACTTCAGAAGCTAGAGAGAGACACTTTGTGAAAAGTGAAGGTAAGCATAAAGAAACATTCAAAGAAAGAAACTCCTTCCTGGAGACACCAACGTGGAGACCTGGTCAGGACCCCACCCTCCCTATCTTGTCCCTCACCTTCTAATCCTGTGTGTTTGTTGTTCTGTGCAGCACAAGAAAGAACAATGTGTCTATCCAGTTGGCGTCTTCAAACTTTACAAAGACAAACAAAGAAACAGGAAGATCAAGCTGGAATTGAAGACAGAGAAATCATAAAATACACATTACAGGGCAATTAAAACCAACTTTCCCCGTGAGAGACAGAAGTAGGACTGGAGGAAGGCCTGAGGTTGTCCTTGAATTTAGAGGAAAGTTCATCTGTGTGCCTTGTTTATTTATTTTTTCCTCTATTTGATGTTGAAATAGGAGCGGCAGGGCTGCGTCCCCGGCACCCGGCCGTCCGCATGGCTAGCTTATGCCCGAAATAATTACACGGAAACTGTATTCTTTCAAACACTGCCTGGCCCGGCTAGGTCCAGTTTCTTATTGGCTAGCTCTTACATATTGTTCTAACCCATTTCTAATATTCTGTGTAGCCCATGAGCTGGCTTACCAGAGAGGATCTTAACCTGCGTCTGTCTGGAGTGGGAGCATCATGGCGACTCCTTCACTAAGCTTCTTTCTCCCAGAATTCTCTTCTGTATACTCCGCCTACCTAATTTTCTATCCAATAAAATGGGCCAAGGCAGTTTCTTTATTAGTAAGAAATCACTCCCACATCAATTTGAGATAGAGCCTCAGGATACAGGCTAACTTGATAGGTAGCCCAGGCTAGCCTCAGCCTTGAACTAATCATTCATGCTTCAGCCCCCTGACTACTAAATTTTAGTTAGAAAACCTTCTCTCTAACTCAATATGTGAAGAAACTAAAACCAAAATTACATATTTTAAGAAGTTTTCTAAACAAATAGCTGGATCTTAACATTCACAAACCAGTCACGCTCAGCCAGTGACAGGCAGATACCTGAATTGATCATCCCAAATACGGCCAATGGCTCTCACACCATGCCCAAGACAGAACCTGTCAAACAGTACCCACCTTGCCTTTGCTGCTGGGGCCGAAAAACCTACTGTTCACACTGCTGAGTCACACTCTCTAAGCCTCTTTGGGTCCAAATTGCTGCCCAGTTACTAAATCACACCTTTGCCAACTCCAGTGCTGAAGACTAAGTGCAGGGTCCTGCACCTACTAACAAATACCAGCACTGTGCCGCCATCCCAGCTCCCAGCTCTGGGTGACAGAAACAGGGATGATCCTTGGAGACTCTCTGACTAGCCAATAGAGTCAATTAATAAGGTTCAGGGTCAGTATGAGACCCTGTCTCCAAATGTAAGGTGGAGAGAGGTAGAGGAAAATAGTTAACATTGACCTCTGGCCCAACACACACACACACACACACACACACACACACACGATAAAACAATCTTGAATAGGGAAAGATGGCTCAGTGATTAGGAGAACTGGCTGTTCTTCCAGAGAACCAAGGTTCAACTCCAGCACCTACATGGTGACTCATAACCACATGTAGCTACTGTTCCAAAGGATCCAGCACCCTTTGCTGGCCTCCATAGGCACTGTGTGCCACTGTGTGTATGTGGTTTACACTTGTGCATGCAGGTGAAACACCATAAATGTAAAATATAAGAGCCTAGAAGCTGAATTTGAGACCTGGAAAGAGAAAACGTATCAACCAGATTTACCTTATTATAACAAAATACTTCATTCAGTTAAACAACTTTTGGCTCACTGTCTTGAGGGTCTTAGTCTTAAGGGGCATGCTATGAAATAAAATTGTGCCTCAAAACAAGAAACAAAACAGACAGGGAATGAACTAAGTTCCCATTATCTCCTTCAAGTTCACACTCCTAATAACCCCAAGACCTGTTAGTAGGTCCCTCCTTGTTTCTCTAGCCCTCTCCACTACAGGCCAGGGGCTAGAGACAAAAATTGTATTTTAAGGAACACTCATGAGCTAAGACAGAAGAGGGGATGAGTCAGAGAGACTGGGTGTCTCACCCTTTCCAGTCCACGGGTTCAAACATTAGATTCCATGATGGGAGAGGAATCCTTACTGGGGGCTGGAAACAGATCCCCTGCTACAAAGAAGTGCCCAGAAATCAGGGATCCTGCTCTTCAGTGTGGAAGAGAATTTAACCAGGTTGATGTAGCCCTAGTTGGTGTTTTGCAATCAAGGCAGTCTTGGCCATGATTCTTAAACAATCTGGGAGTCAGAATGGTACTCATTCAGACTGGGACCCTGAGTCTCCATAGTCTCCCAGACCAACCCTCCCCTCTGCTTATGACCCAGGAAGTACCAGTCTAGATACAGGAATTGAAACTGGAGATTTGTGAAACTTTAAAGTAACTTGTAAAGGGACAACTGTTGTCACTGTCTTCTTTTGCACGTTGAGGCAAAAGAAGTGCTGCACTAGCATCCCTGAGGCTCACTGATGGGCATAGTGCCCCATGGGAAAGCAAGCATTATTTCCCCTGTCTTTCAGACTGACTTCTCAGAAGCTGTCCAGAGCATCACTAACAGTTTCAAAAGCAGAAGAACATAATAAGTCATTCTCTTTGATCAAAGTGACAGTGGCCTCTTTTGCCCGGTGGTAAAATTGGCAGAGAAACAGCCATAGCTCTCAAACATGCCACATCGTCTGCTTATATTTTAATCCCCAGAGACAGAAACAACCAGTCTCCCATGAAGCTTGTCTCCTTGGAAGAGAGTTCACTGTTATTGAATGCTAATATATGTGATTTTGTGTGTGTTGTACAGTTAATCCTTAGAACACTGTGATAATAAACATAAAAAAGTTAATTCCCTAGCAAAAGCCCAAGTATGATTATTATCATGTTTAGAACCATAACTGAGGTAGGAAGGGGTAAAAGCACTGCTAGAAAATGTTGGTTCTAAGCCGGGCGGTGGTGGCGCACGCCTTTAATTCCAGCACTTGGGAGGCAGAGGCAGGCAGATCTCTGTGAGTTCGAGACCAGCCTGGTCTATAAGAGCTAGTTCCAGGACAGGCTCCAAAACCACAGAGAAACCCTGTCTCAAAAAACCAAAAAAATAAAAATAAAAATAAAAAAGAAAATGTTGGTTCTGTGCTTAAGATTTGACATCTGGGTTCAAGTCTCTTGCCAACCCTAATGTGGCTCCCTTAACTAAGATTTGTGCTTCCCTGCTCCCCTATCCAACCTTCCTTTATCCCAATCATCCTGTTTCCCC